TATATATAATATTATATGTCTATACATTATATAAGGCACACAAACACATACATTATTTTATATATACTATATATCTCAGATATTATATACATATATATATATATATATATATATATATATATATATATATATATATATAATATATATATATATAATCTTTTTTTTTTTTTTTTTGAGTGTTGTGAATGTGTGTGTGTGCGTTTATATATACCTATATATATACACACAGTTCGTTTTTTTCGTTTTTATATCCGATCTAGAACTCTCAGGGCCGAATACATATTCTTTTCTTTTCCTGAGATGTCCGGAGAGCCAAATTATCTCTTTATTAGTGCTTGAATTAGCAACGGCTCAGACCAGTTCTTCTCAGTACTTCATTTTACACTCTGATTCTCACAATTCATCTTAAAAACAAAAACTCCAGCTTCATTACAGAACCTCTGCCAACCCAAGCCTCATTAGCATAAAAGAATGGCCTCCAAACATATATTACAACTCGCAAAAATGTCTCACGCCTTTCTTTATATCCTACAGTTCGCTGAACCTCTGTATAAGATATTAATTAATTCAATAACAATTCATTAACACCTAGATTTTCAAGCATTTTCCGAGCACATGACGAAAGTTATCAAAAGTTCTGACATAGTCAATGAAACAAATACATATTATTCGAAATGATATTATTATTCTTAGAATAAATATAAAATTTGTAATGTAGCATATATGTATATGTATATATATATATATATATATATATATATATATATATATATATTATATATATATATATATATGGTATATATATATATATATAATATATATATATATATATATATATATATCTATATATATAGTCTATATATATATATTATCTATGTGTGTTGTAATATATATATATATATAATATTATATATATATAATCTATACTTTATATATATATATTGGGTTTGGGGGGTGTGTATTACTAGATATATATATATATACTATATATATATATATACTATATATATATATTATAATATATGCATATATATCTAATATATATTACACATACACACACCCGACTCACGAACATACACACACAACACACACACACACACACACACCACACACACACACATATATATAGATATATATATATAATATATATATGTACTATATCTATATATTCATCTATATATATATATTATATATATATTATAATATATATCTATATCACATCATTAAATGTGTGTACACACACACACATCACACACAAAAATACCACACACATACACACACACACAAAGATATATAATATATATCTCTATATATATATATATATATATATCCATATATATATGTATTATGTATATATCATATATATATATATATATATATATATATGTATACATATATATATTATATACATATATCTATATATATATTATATATACTATATATATATATATACATATATATATATGTGTGTATTTGTATATATATACGTTATGTATATGTACATATACATACGTGTAATATATATATATATACTATATATATATTATATCGAATATATATATATAATATAATATATTATAGATGTATTTATATATATATTATATATAATATATTATATATATATATAGAGCATCTTATAAATATATATATATCTATATATATATATATAATATATATATATATATAATATATATATATATATGATATATATATTGTATGTAAATATTATATATATTATATATATATAGATAAATATATATATATATATATATATATATAATATATATATATTATGTAATATATATTATATTATAATATGTAAGGGGGTATGTAAAGATATAATATATATATAATATATAGTATAGGTATATTATATATATATATTAATATATAGTATATATATTATATTATGTATGTAAATATATCTATATATATATATATAATTATATATATTTCATATATATATATATATATCTATATAAATATGTATTGTAATAGTATATATGTCTGTATGAAATATATATATATATATATATATATATAATATATATATATATATATATATATATATATATATGTAGTATGTAAATATATATATATATATTAGATATATATATATATATAGATATATAGATATATATATATATATATTATATATATCTGATACATACATTATTGTATATACATTATACATTTATAAAATATACACGCCACAAAGATCACACATATGTATATAGTATATATATATTATATAGATATATATATATATATATATATATATTATACCACACATAGTATATGTTTTATACATTATATGTATAGATCACACACATACACATTCCACGATTATATGTATAAGATGTATAGTTATATATATATATATATATATATCTATATATATCTCTATATATTATATATATACACACACACACATATGCACACAGATGTATATATATTCATATATATATATATACTATGATGTTATATATATCACATATAT